ATTTATTTTTCACAACAGCATATAAAAATCTATATTACTCATTACGTGTAAGCAACAGTGGAACCAGTTCCATGCTGTCGTTCTTTTTTAAAACGTTTTTAAAAGTGGCGAAACGTAGCGACAAAACAGGTAAACAAAACTGTTTCTGTGTTTTAAAAAGAACGACAGCATGGAATTAGAACCACGACACAGCAAGAACACACCCAAGATGTTCAACAGTGGAACCAGTTCACATAACTTAGGCCCTGTCCACACGTAGCCGGGGATCTGCCAAAACGTAGATATTTTTCTAAGTTTTGGCCTGTCATCCACACGAAAACAGAGTTTTTTCACACGAAAACGGATCTTTTTAAAAACTCCGGCCAAAGTGAAGATCTGCGTTTTCTCCGTTTTGGGTGTCTGCGTGTGGACAGACAAAACCGGAGTTCTAAGGTCCGCAACGTCACTTTCCGCGACAAAAAAAATGCTGACATCACGTGTGCGACCTGTGTTTACACTAGCCGACAGCATGGATGCGCTCACTTTATCAATTGTCCAAGCGCTTTTTGCTTGTTTGTTTTTGCAAGCGGCATTACTGCTCCTTGCGGAAGACCACAGACGAAGGACGAGGTTAAGAACGGGGGAAGTACTGCCCCCTACAGGTCTGGCATGTCCTTAACAACGTATTTATCCGGGTACGTGTGGACAGAGTTTTTTTTTAAACGAGGTAGTGTGGATGCAAGTTTTTGGAGGGGCGGGTATTTGTTTTTTTAAAAACCCGGCTACGTGTGGACTAGGCCTCAGGAAACTAAATTCAACAGTTCAGTGGTTACAGTGTATGCTCCGTGCTTTTTCCAACAGGTGGGAGGATACATGCCCCAAGCTCCGTTTCGACCACTATGACGACATCAATAACTGCGAGAAATTAAAAGAAAAATTGTTGACGTTTGCTAACCAAATTGTGAAGAAAAAAAAATTTTGAACTCAAGACACAATTTAAACAATTTGTGACTAAATCCTGTCAAGAAATTATACTAATGGAAGTTTTTTTGAAATTGCATCAACCGCCCAACGTGACCCGAGCACATATGCGACTTGTTGTAAATTCTATGAGATTCCAATCAAAAAGTTGCATTATTTCTCTCAGTTTCATGTTTATGTATTTAGCAGACGCTTTTGTCCAAAGCGACTTACAAGTGATAATCGGCATGTTGCCCTTGAGGCTAACAACAACAACAACAACAACAACTTGACATCAGTCATGGAGAGGAGGGAACAAAGGAGTGGACAGTAGAGAGGGGGGACGGGTGCAGGGAAGGTGCTAGTTAAGAAGATGCTCTCTGAAGAGCAGCGCCTTCAGGAGTTTCTTGAAAATCGAAAAGGAAGCCGCTGTTCTGGTAGTGCTTGGAAGGTCATTCCACATTTGTGGAACGATGCATGAGAAGAGTCTGGATTGTCCTGAGCGTGGTGTAGGCACTGCTAGCCGACGATCCTGTGATGACCAGAGCGGCCGGGCCGAGACGTAAGCCTTTGCAAGAGGATTCAGGTAGATGGGAGCCGTACCATCTCGGACTTTGTATGCTAGTGTTAGCAATTTGAATTTGATGCGTGCTGCTAGCGGTAGCCAGTGGAGCTCAATGAACAGAGGGGTGACGTGTGTTCTTTTAGGCTGATTGAAGACCAGACGCGCCGCTGCGTTCTGGACCATTTGAAGAGGTCTCACCATACCTCTTCAAAAGTTTCATGGCTAATCATGCAGCGGCTTTAGATACGGAAGTTCTATGATGTAAAACTGGAGCTAACGGCACCCCAGTTAGCTCCACCTTTAACAATACCAGTGCTTTCTTACAGCGTACTTCTGATTTTGGCTGCAGCAGAAGGTGCCGGATGCGTCACCAAGACCCACGATAAAGGTTTGGTATTATTTACTGTTGACTCAAACTGAGACAATATTTGGGTGTTTGGTTTGAACCACGGGATATTCAAATTCTATTTATTTATTTATTTATTTGTAATTCTGAGAGCAAAGTAAATAGCGTGACTAAACAACATCCATTAGTGGCTCTCCTGTGACTCGTCCACCCCGTGGTGCGCTGCCTGTCTCCAGACTCACTACATCAGCTGTGGGATGTAATTGCAGCAGGCACCAACAAAACAGCCTCGGAGGTGTCCTTCATGTCTTTGGCCACGAGCCTCGCGCACTGAGGCGGGGTCTGGGTCCACCAAACGCTGGCTACTTCCACTTCCCTGCCTGTGGAGCAATTAGTGTGTGTGTTTGAGTGTGTGCGTGTGTGTGTGTGTGTGTGTGTGTGTGTGTGTGTGTGTGTGTGTGTGTGTGTGTGTGTGTGTGTGTGTGTGTGTGTGTGTGTGTCCGTGGGCTCCAGCTGTCAGGAGGCCTCTGTCTCCTGGTCTTGACATGTCTCCAATACACCCTGCTGCGAGTCTCTGTGTGTCACACAAACTCCACAGACCCAACCGGAGCCCACGGCGAGCTGTCGGTCTCACACACACACACACACACACACACACACACACACACACTCGCCCGCACATTCCCTCTCACTCACTCTCTCTTTCTCACTCTCACACACAAACACACACAGCTGCACGTGCTGCATCTTCATTGATACAGTCCTTCTGGTGAAGTAGTTGGAACTTTTCTACCATTCACGGTGTGTGTGTGTGTGTGTGTGTGTGTGTGTGTGTGTGTGTGTGTGTGTGTGTGTGTGTGTGTGTGTGTGTGTGTGTGTGTGTGTGTGTGTGTGTGTGTGTGTGTGTGTGTGTGTGTGTGTGTGTGTGTGTGTGTGTGTGTGTGTGTGTGTGTGTGTGTGTGTGTGTGTGTGATGGCAGCAAACATGGCGGTGGCTGCAGGCCACGCCAACTCATCCGTGCTTCCCCTCATCATTTTAATCACCTCGTTAGGCTCAACTAGTCTCCACGCTCACTGGCCGCTGCTCTTCCTCTGGACCCGTGCCCTCTTGACCCCCATGCTGGTACTGCCACCGGGCACAGACGGGCACGATGGGGGAGAACAAAGACAACCCTACGCTGGATTTGGGTAAAGATTTTGAGACGCATGTATGCTGTGGTATTTCAAATGTTTGGGAGAGTTCAGATCATGAGTGGTTTATAAGGAGACATGTGAACAGACTCAGTTTAGAAAAATAAAGATCTACTCTGATAGATTGAAAGCTCACGTCCAGTCAGCAAAAGAACAGGCCAAAATAATCTAACGCACTTCATTGCAGTTCATGCAATATGTATATGCACTTTTGTGTTTATTATCAAATACAAATAGCAGCAGCGGCAAGATTTAGCACTTCCTGTGCAACCGGCGGCACTTCCTGAAACATGTTGGAGATTTTATTTGTTGTTGGATTTTAAACAAATCCTAATGTAAACAAGATGGAAGTCTAAACATTTTTAAACAGTCTTCACATCAATAACAATAAAACTTTTGAGATTCTTGAACTAGCCTTTAGCTCATCAATCCGGCCAGAACATATCTGTTTATCCAAACTGAACCCGTTCAAAGATCTGTCTACAACAACCTACGACCTAAAAGTTCGTTTGAGTTCTCCTGTTTAACCATTTATCCTCACATCCTACACTGTAAAACTTATTAAGTTATATTAACTCACAAATATTAACAAAAATTACTTAAAACGAAAATTGTTGGTTTCATAAGAGAAAACATTTTCGTTTGGCTGATTTTTATTTAACTTCACCTTCTCTGTTGCAATTGATTCAGAGTTGTTTGATTCAACTGATAACAATTCCACTTGTGATCAAACGAACATGCCAAGCTGTAAAACATGTTTGTATTTCTGTAAATGAGGAGGTTTATGTTTGAATGTGCTAATGTGTTGTGTGTGTGTGAGGTCATTTAAGTAAAATATTTAAATGTATTTCAGCCTTATGCCATTTAATCCAATTAAAACCAGTTGAGTTTAATTAATTTAAATCAGGTAAATGTAGTTCATCTCAATTCAGTTCAGTTTAACTCAGTTTGGCTCAGTTCAACTGAAATTATTTCAGTTCACGTCAACTCTGTTTAGCTCAATTTCTTTTAAATCAGAAGAATTTATTTCAGCTCATTTTAACTCATTTGCATTAAACCCAAATAAAATCAGGTTAATTCAACTAATTTCTGTTGATTAGAGTTCAAATGAGTTTATTTCACGCAAGCGAAGTTCAGTTTAATTTTATTTAGTAATTTCCGTTCACCAGAGTTTAGTTAAGTCAAATTCCATAGAGTTTAGTTTATTTCAAAATAGTTCAAATAACTTTGATTAAATTTGAATTAAATCACCTAAAATCAACAGTAATATCAAAGCTTTGCATGAAAGCAAATTTTAATTCATTACTTGAAGCAAAATGATATTTAAATCAATAATTTATTTTAATGTGACACTTTATCCAATTCTAAAACTGGCCAAGAAATTGAAATAACAAGAAGGAAAAGATGTTTTTTGCAGTGCTGAAGTTGATTTATCACTCAGGAGGACCAGAAAACTTTCTCTAACTCGTGTGTGCAGATTTTAATTATATTTTCATAAAGATACTTGGATCATATTACATTAGAAATAAGCACTTTTAATTAATTTTGAGAATGATTTTTGCTAAATGAGCATGATCACTCAGATTAGATAAATATAATCTTACAAAATAACAAAAAAATGTTTTTCTTGGTAAATGTATTTAATTTTGAATGAGTTTAGTGATTATATGAAAGAACAAACCCAGAAAATGAAAGTCAGATTTCATTACTCACCCCCCACGTGACCCCTTTCCTCTCAAATTAAAGTGTGACACTTTTTTTTCATCGCTGTTATTCACTATAATAAAAAAATACTCGCACGTGCACAAACTCGCAACATGAACGCGTGTTATTCCTTTATCGCGCACGCATCTGGTCCCGCGGGAGGCAGCGCGCTGGAGGGCAGAGGGGCGTGAGGGGGGCGGAGTCAGACAACATGATATAAACATATTCGGACCGTGAAGTGAGGCTTTATCAGAGCGGAGCGCGAGGATCTGATCTATCTCTCTAAAGTGGAGGAGGAGGGGAAGGATTATCTGTGATTCCCGACGAAGAAGAGCTTGGTTGATCTTCATCCTCTTCATCTTCCTCCGGCGGATGGACCACTAACCCCCCACCCCACCCCACACACACACTTTCGCTTCTAAGATCCGCTCATCTTTTGTCTCTGCGGCGCGGAGATCCCGCGGATCAGCCTCTTCATCGCCATCATCACCATCAGATTTACAGCTGATTTAATTATCATCATTTACCTGGACAAGAACTTATCTCCGACCGGGTTGGATCAAGCGTTGCCCTCTCTCGCTCTCTCTCTCTCCATCTCACACACACACCCATCAGGATTGTGTGATGCTGCAAGTTCACAGCAGGAGAAAAAAGTCAAACAAGTTGTTTTTATTTAAACGCATTTGAATTTTCTGCCATCTGACGCTTGTTTAGTCTCCCGGAACATGAGTTAAATCAGAGCGAGTCTGGTCAGAGGAGAAAAATAACGGAATTTTCTCACAAGTCTTTGTCAAGGTAAGTGGATTGTCTCCTTGATAATGATGTTTTATTTCACTGTCATGCATTTTCTTAAATATTAAAACCAAAATCTGGAATTTTATATCCAATATATGTTCTAATTTATCTTTATTACGTATTATTATTATTATTATTATTATTATTATTATTATTATTATTATTATTATAGCGGTGAAGTCAGCGTGGCCTTAGAGAAGCAGATGTGTGACAGATGGCCAGTTCTGATTATGTTAATTCACAAATAAAAAAAGGGGGGGCAGCTTCTTCCCCCTCAGAAATAACCACACGTTCTTGGAAAAAATAAATGTAAAGAGAGTAAAAACAAAGATTCACTTCCATATGAGCTCAGAATGAATTTTTAGCCATTTATTATTTAAAGAGTCTTGTGATTATGTAATAAAATTCACTTAGTTGGGGGGTAGTGGCCTCAGGGACCCCTTAAATCAAATCTTTATTATTATTATTATTATTATTATTATTATTATTATTATTATTATTATTATTATTTAGTTGGTTGATGTTTACCTGACACTTACGGTGTTTCCTCCAGGTCTGTGAGGAAGAGGAGGAGGAGCGAGCCCCAAGATGATGCTGAGTCCGGATCAGGCGGAGGCCGACCTCTCCTGGACCCAGTCCGACCCGGAGACGCTGCTCAACGGCCTGAAGTCGGCCGGCTGCGCGTCGGACGAGCCGACAGAGAGCGAACCGGACCGGGCCAAATGCAAATCCGAGCAGCCGCTGAGCCGGGAGGAGAAGCGGAGGCGGCGGAGGGCCACGGCCAAGTACCGGTCAGCGCACGCGACCCGGGAGCGCATCCGGGTAGAGGCGTTCAACGTGGCCTTCGCGGAGCTGAGGAAGCTTCTCCCCACCTTGCCTCCGGATAAGAAACTGTCCAAGATCGAGATCCTCAGACTGGCCATCTGCTACATCTCTTACCTGAACCACGTGTTGGACGTGTGAGAGCGCGCGACAAGTCCGGGCCCGGCTGGGTGCGGGAAATGGACCCGAACACTGGGTGCGGGGTGTGCCTAACGAGGGACTCCTGTTTAAACAAAAGTCAGTATTTTTGACATTGTCAGACGACACATTTTCAATCGTTTGAATATTTCCAGGTCTAAACGCAACGATTCATCTGGACGTTCATCTAAAATAACTCTAAACGACACACGAGGTTCAAAAAACGACTCAAACGTCTGTAAATCCGCTCAAACTCCAGAAGTGACGTTTATCGTTCAGTTTGTCAGCAGATCTTAGTTTTCTGAGACAAATCACTTATTGGTTATTGGTCCAAATCAAAGCCTCGGAGTCCACACGAATGCAATAATAATAATAAAAATAATAATGATGATGATAATAACAATAATTCCCAACATACAGGAGAGGAAACATCTCTGGAAGACAGAGCAGACATATTGGAATTTTCATTTTCATGAAAATCTCAAATAATCTTATTTCAAATCCACCTGATGTAGAAAAAAGTCTTAAGATCTTGTCTGAAAGCCACCGCCACCGCGGTCAGGCTGAGGGTCTGAGGGCATGTTTCACATCAGGGTGAAAGTCCATAGCTGCTTTAGATCTAGTCTAGAAGATGTTTTCCAAGAAGGAAAAGAAAAAAAAAAGAAGAAGAAAGAGATCCAAGACATCAAGTGCCACTTATGACATGAGAAATTGTGACCTTAATCATTTTTAAAAGTGTATTTATTAATTTATTTATTTATTTGAGTTAATATGATTGGTTATTTATAAATGTCCTTTTTTGTATAAATGTTCGTTGCTTCTATATATTTTAGGCTGTGAAACGCAAACGTGGGAAAAGTGATGGAAACTTGGCACTTTCTGTAGATCTGCAATCTGCTTTTTGTTTTTGTTTTTGTTTGTTTTTATGTGTGTGTTCGAAATGCGTGTCACAGTTTTGTTTTGCTTTGATGATGTCTCTGTCCATCATTAGCAACGACTAGCACATCGAATGCGCGGGGCGGGGGGAGGGGGGGCTTCGCGGGGCCCCAGATGTTAGATCCTCTAAAAGAAATGTTGTGTTGGGAATTTTGTTTGTTTGTTTACTAAAACAGCTGGGATGTTCAGTGAGACACGTTTGATTTGCGGGGTTACGATGTGTTAGCGGCAGCCTCTTCTTTTGCTGTGACCAAAAAAAACAAAAGTTATTCTCTTCGATGTGCTAATGCTAGGCTATTATTTTTAGATTCAATCTGTTATTTATTTGTCTCTTCTTTGTATTCCCGAGAATTCCAACACGTACTTTTATAGGGAAAGGGAAAAAAAACACATATCCTCTATCCAAAGAATTTTTTTGTCTCTTCAGGGTTGTGTAGACTACTTGTTGCTTTAAGCAGATTTTTAGTAGAAGTATCTTGTGACAGCTGGTTTCTAATGGACAAATTTTCATATTTTCTGGTGTTATTTTTAATTAAACAGGGAAAAACCCAATAAAGACTCCTCTTGTTTCATGGTGTTTTGGTTTTTCCAATGGTGTTGTCAAGGAAATGAGCTTATACCATTAAATATCTCCCCACTGCGGCAAGCCAGTTTATCATATAATGGCTAGCGAGGAAGTTTAAAACAGTTGTTTACATTTAGATTAAACTTAAGTCAAAATAAACATTTTAACAATTCAGAATTGCTTTGCGTCGGCAATTCTCAAGACTCCTCCCTTTCCGGTTGGCTCATGGGTCTCAGAAGAACGTCAAATGAATGCAAGTCAATGGGCTAAAAGAGCTATTTTCTAACCCGCTTTGCCTTAGACCCTCGATCGCCCATATGTTGTACTTCTATTTGAATGAAAAGTAATTAAGTGTGTTTCGACCACACCAGTCACGTACTTTGAGATTTATCAGCTTTTAAAAGTTCGTAGTTAGCATGACTACAAACCAGACATCAGTATGTCGCATATATGACATCACCACATCATCTCCTCTCCCCTAGCATAGCTGCTACTCACCACATGGCCAGATTTATGGTGGTTCTTTCGTCCTGAAGGAAGGATTTGAAATTTGCTAATCTTACAACCATTTTCCCTCGATTTTTCTCCGTTTATGGTTTGACGACGTCACTTTCGTGAAGCGCATTTGTAGTCCTGGACTACCCATGTCCAAATTAAAGCGCTTTCTTGGTATCAAAATGCGTCTTTAACATTCATTGACATCATATGTGAAATCCATGGCACATAACAAGCAGAATTAGAAAATATCGTTTTTATCCCCTTTGACTTGCATTAATTTTTCCGTTCTTCCGAGGACCCGTGGTCCAGAAGTAAATGGGCATGACTTAGGCTCCCTATTTGATCCATCCATAAGTACATTATTAAATTCAAATTCAAATTTTATTTGTCACATACACAGTCATACACAGTACGAAATGCAGTGAAATGCCTTACACAACTGCCCGTGATTACTGAAATAAATACCATTTTCTAATACTGGAACAGTCATCAGTAAAACGAATGTTTCAGAATGATGATAACAAAGACATTTGCTCCTTTTGACCACAACAAAATAATTATGGAGTTCTACAAGACAAATATTATTATGACTTTTATTATAATATTCTAATACCCCGAGTCATGATTTCCTGTTTTCATTAATCTTTAAGGCATAAAAAGTCAAATTTGAACTTAATTATGACAAATTATCATTGTTTCTTCAAATTGCTCATTCACAAATAAATGCTAAAATGTTGCTACATAACACGTGTGTTCTTGTTTATAATTTTATTATCAAGTATTGATATAAATAATGACTAAAAATGCATCTATTAAAAGAAGCCAACATCTGGAATGAGATTATCTGAGGTGTTTTTTATATATATTTTAGCCAGGAATTTATTTACTGGCTAAATATTATAGAATTTATGTAATTTCTTATTAATTCAATGAAGGGGGTGGGGCTTAAACATTATACTGCAGCCAGCCACTAGAGGGACATCTTGTGTCTACTTCTCCATTTTTTTCAATGGACACACTAGAGTCCAGGGAGGTGGTGTATGTTCAAGTAGACCAGCATCATCCACATACAGGGAGCAGCTTTTGAATGAATGTATGAAGGTGTTGAGAATTTTAGCTTTTTGGAAACTTAATAGAGTTTTTACTGGGTCTTCCAGAGATCATTTTGTTAGCAAGGATGTTGTTTTAGATGTTTTTAATTTGAATGCAGACTACTGAGAATGTCATTTTGTTCAGAATGAATTTAACCTACAATTAAAAACACATTAAATTAAAATATTTCTCAAATATGGGAACTTGGTTTTAATTATATGCCACAATGGCCTGCTGTACTGTCAGCTGGTTGGACACAAGGACAGGTTCCTGTTTGCACGCACACAGGTGTCACAACAACACTTAGAAGGTGAAATAAACACAATCCCAGTTTAGCATACAGATAAAAACACTTTACTACATTGTCCATTGACAATGCAGCACACACACACACACACACACACACACACACACACACACACACACACACACACACTGGTCAGCAGCTAAAGGCAGTGGTAGGAGCTACATGTATGCTCCTGGCTGAAAGGCCTTCTCCCTCCCCAGAGAGGGGGCAGGTGTTACTCCAGACGAGCCAAGACAACCAAATTACTGGCCGTCTGGCACCTCCCGTGGGAAACCCGGCGAGAAGGAAGGGATGGGAGAGATGGAAATTTATGAGCGAGCAAGCGCTGAGATGTAATATTGCCAAATACTATGAGCAGGAAAGATCCAAATATTTATATTCATTTCTAATAAATATAGGCCTGTGTTCCCATCGATTGTGCTATAAAGGGCCTTGTAGTTGAGTTACAAAGGAGGAAATGTGTGAATGCTTTCATCCAAACCCCATTAGATAATCTAGGGCTTTTTTTTTGTAAAACCCCAGTGGGAGTTGATCCCTTAACCATGGAAATGCTACAGTTAGGCTTTTCCAATTGAGAAAAAAAAGCATTACAATAAATATTCTAGCTTGCTAGTTAGCTCACAGATCTACTTTCACCTTTACGTGGGAGGGAGCAGATGGAAATAATGACCTTAAACAAATGTGACCCTTAAAAAACTCCTGTTTCAATGGGAGGGAATAACATTTGTAAATTCATCTCTAAATTCATTTCTTTGTTTAATTTGTCTACATGCTAGGAGCTAACATTAGCAAAATTATTTATTTTTTCTTTACATTTTTAGCATTAGCATTTAGCAGTTAGGCCTAATGGTAGTTAAACTCAGATTTGATGATGTCAAACATGATGTGAATGTCTTGTTACAGCTGTACCCTTTAAATGTCTACTCGGTATTTGTTGGCTTGTATAGGCAAGTTAATGTGGACTAATAGAATAGAATAGAATAGAATAGAAATGTTTAATCACACCGTAGGGAAATTCACTTGATACAGCAGCACGACACTTAGAGAAAAGGTACAGGTAAATACACAAACACAATAAGCTATTAAAGCTAATAAAAAAAGAAACTTGGGTTTCCAGAATTATGCACAATAAGGGACAGAGACTTACATACAGGGTATCTGCAGGTTTAAGGGAGTCAAATTTAAGACTTTTTAAGACATTTTTAAGGCCACTTTGACGAAATTTAAGCTATTTTAAAAATTAAATTTAAGCTATAATTTCCAGCTATTGCCTGGAACAGGTGCTAACCACGTCGCAAACGTGGGATTAGCCATCCAGTTACCATTACACTTCCACTTCCCCATGGTGCAAGCTCCCGCTAGCTTAGCCAGCTAATGTGCTCATCTAAAAAAAGCCCCCTTTCACAACCAGCTGAATGTGTACGGTTCCGCTTACGCCAAAATCGTTCACAAAAAATACTGAACACTAACTAGAAATTCACGAAAATTTTACAGAAATAAAAGAATCTTGTTTATTGGGTCTTTGGTAATTTAAGACCTTTGGAAACTGTATTTAAGGATTATTTGTCATTTTGAAGGATTTTTGGGGCCTTAAATTTGGAAAAGCTAATTTAAGACATTTTAAGACTTTTTAAGGACCCGCGGATACCCTGAACACATACTGGATAATGCATTGCACCGATGTTATTGTGTAACAGAATAAGCCAGTACCAGAAAAACTGAGGAGTTCTACACTCTTACTGCAGGGGGGATGAATGACCTGCGGTAAGGTTCTGTTTTACATCTGGCATGTCTCCGTCTGCCTCTGAAGGAGCTGTCCATGGTCTCCACAGTGGAATGCAGTGGGTGGGACGGGTTTCTAGGTCATCTTCCCCAGCATCCAACTTTCACACGTCTCCTCAACTGAATCTAGTTAGCAGCCCAGAACCGAGCTAGCTTACTTAGCTAGCTTGTTCAGTCTCTTCCTGTCTCGGTCAGAGCTGCCTGCACCCCAACAGACCACAGCAGAGTGTATGACAGAGCCAACAACAGAGTGATAAAAGGATTTTAGCAGATTAGAATGTACTCCGAAGGACCTCAGCCTCCTCAGGAGGTGGAGGCAGCTGGCAAAATAACTAGATTTTCTTCACATGTTGAATTTAAGGACAATAAAAGTAAACTTTCCTAATTTTCTTTTGCTAAGTACATTTTTTGTTACAGTTTTAGGTTGCAAGAGAAGCGTGTTGTGTCAGAGCTAAGTAAAAGTAAAGGGTCGGCATTTCGTTATAACAAGAGTTTCCCATTAGAACATGATTTATATCATTTTATAACAAGATACTGCTCCCTTGTTGGTTTGAGGTTTAGAATATTTTTTGTTGTGCCTTGTTTAAGCTTCTGTCAGGATCCAGCAGGTGGAGATGTTTCTCTCCTTTCCCAGGTGCTGAGTGGTCCCAGCTGGAGCCAACTACCTCATCAAGGCAGCAGTATTTAGGAGGAGTGGAGCCACCAGACGTACGTCAGCTGATTCCGTTTATGGAGTGGTAAACTGACCACGCGCCCTCTAGTTGGGCTTCCCTTCGTGCCAGGTAATCAATCACCTGTGATTCTATGTTCCTCGCAGCAACCCCTTCCGCATCTTTGAAGACCCAGGAAGTTCCTTATCGGTTCATACATTCAAGTTCTCTTCTCCACGTCTTCACCGGTTTGGACGTCCGTCTCCCTGGGTGTGGCCACTCCTCTCTCCGCCGCTGCAATAGCTCCAGCACTGGATTCTGCCAAGCCGCTCAGCTCTCCTGTGGAAAGAAAACACCACTAACCCACCGCGCAGCTCGCACAACCTTCAACCACCCTGAATACTCACCTCTCTCTCAGGACCGGTCCCTCCGCAGCTCCAGTGAGTTATCGATTCCAGTTAATCATGCTAAAGGATGTTCAGTTCGGTTCTAAATATACTTACCATACCTACCTTTTCCAGTGAAGATCCTCCTAGAATCCTCGTCTCCCCTTGGTCTCTCGATTCCTCTGGTCCAGAAGAAAATGAACAGTTATGAGAAACTTGTTTCTGAGTCCCGAGTGTGCCGTGTCTGCTTACGAGTCTCCCATTCGAGATCATGACAGCTTCCTAATCACCTGCCCTGTATCCTAAATCAATCCATCGCCCCATGGGTCCACTTCTTGTATACAGTGGGATGCGAAAGTTTGGGCAGCCTAGTTAGTCTTCATGATTTTCCTGTATAAATCGTTGGTGGTTGCGATTTAAAAAATAAAAATAAATCAAGTTGAATAAATCTTATAGGAGGCACACACAGTGACATTTGAGAAGTGAAGCAATGTTGTAGAAAATGTGCAATTTACACAAAATTGGGCAGGCGCATAAATGTGGGCACTGTCATTTTATTGATTCCAAAATCTTTAAAACGAATTATTGGAATTGGTTTAGTAAGCTCAGTGACCCTTGACCTCCATACAGAGTATTTAATGTTCAATGGCCTGCATCTGTAATTATTGTTCATTTCATTTATTTATAAAGCCCCTTCTGCGACCAATGCAGGCGCCCAAGGTGCTGAACACAACACAATAAAAACATAAAACCATCAGAATAAAATATAACAATCGTAAAACCAGCATAAAATCAAGTAAAAGAGGAGAGTAAAAGCAAAAAATAAAATCCAGAAAAAAATTAAGAGGCCGGGGCATCGAAACCGGGTAAAATCCTGAAATGTCTTGACAAAAAATTGTGTCTTAAGGAAAGTCTTAAAACCCCCCAATGAGGGTGACTGATGCACCACCAAAGGCAACTTATGAAGTACCTTAGGGTTCTACAAGCCCCCCAAGGGGCTTCACAACACAATCAGACATTCACCCATTCACACACTGGTGGGGAGGAGCTACAGTGTAGCCACAGCTGCCTTGGGGTGCACTGAAAAGAGGTAAGGCCTGCACACCGGCGCCACCGGTCCCTTTACCCACCACCAGCAGGCAAGGCTCCAAGCGGCAGACCAAGAAAAATCTCAGATCAACAGAAGCAAAGAATGGTGAGAACAGCCAGAGTCAACCCGCAGACCAGCACCAAAGACCATCTTGCTGCAGATGGAGTCGCTGTGCATCGTTCAACTATTCGGTGCACTCTACACAAGGAAGTCTTTTCTCCACCCACAGCACAAACAGAGCTTGAAGTATGCTAAAGCACTTTTGGACAAGCCAACTTCATTTTGGAACAAGCTGCTGTGGGCCGATGAAACTAAAACGGAGTTATTTGGGCAGAACAAGGCCGTTATGCATGGAGGAAGAACAACGCATCATTCCAAGAAAAACACCTGCAGTAAAACATGGTGGTGGTTCCATCATGCTGTGGGCTGTGTGGCCAGTGCAAGGACTGGGAATCTTGTTAAAGTTGAGGGACGCATGGATTCCACCCAGTATTAGCAGATTCTGGAGACCAATGTCCAGGAATCAGTGACAGATCTGAAGCTGCACGGGGCTGCATCTTTCAAGACAACGACCCAAAACCCTGCTCACAATCTAGCAAGGTGGAACGTTCTGGAATGTTCATCTCAGTTCCCAGACCTGAATATTATTGAACACCTGTGGTGTGAGTTAAAGACAGAGGTGGAAAGTAACGAATTACAATTACATTTACTCACGTTACTGTAACTGAGTAGCTTTTATGTGTATTTATACTTTTTAAGTCATTTTTAAAATCTGTACTTTTACTTTTACTTGAGTACGTTTTTTTAAAAAGAATTGTAATTTGCTACATTTTAAATTATTTCCGTTTCTGAGTAAAAGTACATTTTAGGCTTAATAAATTAAAAATACTGCTTGCGTTGGAACAGAAAGAGACACCTGCATGAGTGCCGGGTCTAAACCGTGGGGTGGGGGGTACATTTTAGATAATGAGGACAAACAACCATTTTTACTGCAGTTTTGCTACAAAACATCAGTCCCTGTGATCCACTCGCTGTTTACCTCCTCTCTCCCTCCTCTCCTGTGGGTTGGAACCCGCACCTTCACGCACCGGTGTGACATCATCAGAATTCTTGAAATGTGCTTCCCTACCGCTCCGCACGGCAGCAGCAAAATAACGTTTAACGCCCATAACAAGTGGATTCTCAGCGCTTTGCTCTTAAAACAGAAGACCTGCAGGCCTCTGAGAGTTAAAACATCCTGATGCTGTTCAGGTGTAAACATTGTGCTCCATCCCTGTTTGAACTCAGAAGATGCTCCTTGATGCCACAGATATGCGATGATTTAGCTTGTTTCTTTATTTTACTTCAGAATAAGAGATTAAATTATTACAAAAGCAGTTCAATGTAGTTACATTAGTCATGACGTGTGTGTGTGTGTGTGTGTGTGTGTGTGTGTGTGTGTGTGTGTGTGTGTGCGCGCGCGTGCGCACACACGAGCGAATTGTGCACTGGCGTTGTGATTTTGCACTACTTAGATGTAGCCATCCTTACGCTGACAAAAATGTAACTAAGCAACTTTTACTTTGAGTACATTTTATTTACGATACTTTTTACTTTTACTCGAGTAAAAATTTAGGCAAGTACTTTTACTTGTACTTGAGTAAAAAATTATCAAAGTATTGGTACTCGTACTTAGGTAGGAAATGTTAGTACTCTTTCCACCTCTGGTTAAAGAGAGCTGTCCATGCTCAGAAGCCATCAGACCTGAATGAACTAGAGACGTTTTGTAAAGAATGGTCTAAAATACCTTCAGCCAGAATCCAGACTCTCATGGGAAGCTGTAGGAAGCATTTAGAGGCTGTTATTTCTGCAAAAAAAAGGATCTGCTAAATATTGAGTTTATTTCTTTTTTGTGGTGCCCAAGTTTAATCACCTGCCTAATTTTATTTAAACATTTGTTGCACACTTTCTGTAAATCCCATAAACGTTGTTTCACTTCTCAAATATTACTGTGTGTCTCCTATGTGATACATTTAACTGAAATGTTATTATCATAGCCACCAACGATTTATAACAGAAAATCATGAAGATTTACAAGGCTGACCAGACTTTCACATCCCACTGTATGTACTTCTAGGTCTCCCAGTGGTCAAATTCTGCTGTCCAACTCTTTTTGGGCTATTTCAGTGGGAATTAGCAGTATAACTAGCTTTTTGTAACAATTCAGTTTGGTGAAATTCAAAATTTTACCTGTTGGCAGTCTCTTTGAACAACCTCAGCTTGGAGAAATAAAAATTAGTTCTGACTCACAATGTAGCTTCTTACAAGGTGATCTTTTGTTTTCGTGCAAACGTTATTTTATGAACCTTTACACTGACATACATTTTGCATTGTCATTTATCCAGATGGGCTACATAGTGAATTGCTACGGGTCGTTAGCTTTGATGCTCAGTTTCTTTAAAGTGGCAGTGTGTAGTTTCCTGGCGCTGAGCAGTACAATACGTTTCAGGGTAGTTTTACACCAACAGCCATGACCTAAGGCTTTGATGGTCCTTCAGGTAATTTCATCAAGAGAATGCAATGCCGATGCTAGTTTTCTGGTGCTGTAGTTTATGGATTTGCTTGGGGTTCTGCACCTGCTGATGACATCATTATACTACGGCAATACCACTAGGCCAAAATATATTGCACCTCTTTTTTTATTTTGTTCTTTCACATAGATTTAGGGAAGAATTTAGCCGTTTTGTTATTAAAACCATGTTTCTTCCAATCTAAACGTTTTCGAACGTGGTAATGTCGTAAAGTCTTATGTCCAGCCAAACATCTAGTGTGACGTCATCAACAGGCGCAAGACTCCGAGCCGGCCAGAAGGAAACATGGCGTCTAATATGGTGTACCCCAAAGACGCTAGACCTGCACCTTATGTACTTTAGACCCGAAGATGCCAATATTTTTCAATGGCTGGACATCGTTTTATTCAATTTCAACAGCATTTTGATGGATATTTTCCAAGACATTGTCACTTTAAAAATAACCATAGATTCTGTGTAAATAACAATCTGATATAAATGTAATTAGGTTGGAGATGTTAAAAATAGGCAGCAATCTGCTTTCATCTTGGCCTTACTTTGATCAGCTGCAAACTAATCAGTCAGGCCGGAGCTAATTTTCATTTTTCCAAACAAAAACAATTCAAGGGCTTACCTGCGACAGGTAAGATGTTTGCTTTTGACAGAACCTCACTTCAAAAGATCTGATCTATTCCTCCTTTATTTACATTTCATTGCTTATATGAATGGCATTAAATGTGGTTTAATAGTCAAATTGAGTGCCTGGTTCATGTTTACTTTACTTCCTGTTCTGTTATAATTGTACTGATTAATGCTTTATCTTTAGGCTTGCCTGTATCGATAAGTGTCTTCATTGTTTCCAATTAAAACAGATTTGAATTATCTTTCAAACTGATGTTTCAGTACCCATATTAACCAAATAATCTTAGACATCTGCTATGTGGGGTACCCCAAGGCTCTGTATTGGGCCCACTCCTATTTACTCCTACATATGCACTCTCTTGGACAGATAATTAACATATTTCAAATCTACCACTTTTATGCAGATGACAGTAAGCTTTACGTCAGTGTTAAGGACTCTGAGATCTGTCTGAACAACTCGAGTACTGATCAAAAATCTATAACAGTTTAACAGTGACTTCTTAAAATCAAACTCTGAAAGGTTGTCTGAGCATAGCTCCATAGAGCATGGTTCCTCTAATCAGGTAATAATCGGTCAATGAAATTCTGCCATCAAGGGAAATCTGAGAACTTTGTGTACTGGTATATTTTCTTAATCAGAATGTGTTTAAAATATGGCTCTGAGATGGTTTTTCATGCTTTTATTTCCTCATGTCATGATTCTTGCAACACACATTTATTTAGACTTTAACCCCCCACCTCAACCCTCCAAAAACCGTGATGGACTCTGCAGTGACGCTCCTGCTTCCGTGTTTCCATCACATCTGATTAAAACTGCATCCTGTTTAAACACATAATGTCACATTTACAGTTTGTTGAATATAGCTCACACCTCACAGGCTCATTATTTCTGCTTTCTCCA